AACAAAACGAAAATACGTTTTCTATTTTGGGTTTTGCTGCTGTTTTTTAACACTTTCTAATAGTGTGAACAAATGTAGAAGAAAAAAATTGTTTGACCTTGAAAAATTAAATTAAAAAATAAAATTTCATTTTTTTATCAAATGGGCAGTTTGTATTTTTTTAAAAAAAATTTTATCATAAAGGTGAGGTTTTTTCCTAAAAAAAATGTATAGGTCAAAACGTGGGACAAGAACTTTTAACTAGTCAAATTAAGCATTTACTTCTGCCGTGCACCGTCTCACAGTGGAATTTTTTTTACAATTTACTATTAAAAAATGTCTATAGCTTACAATTTTTAACCGATTTGAGTGTTCTTTGTCTTAAGTTAAAGGGGAATAAATTCTTAAGACATCCTTCGAGGCAGATTTTGGAGATTTTAATTATTTATAATTTTTTTTAAATCAAAGTTAACAAATTAATACACTTTTTTAAAAAAAGGAGGTTTATTTTCTTATTTCGTTGATGCACATGATCTAAATCAATTTAAATTCATCCAATATGACCACCAGATAATTAATAAAGCATAAAATAATTTATTTCAATTGTTATAAACAATATATAGCCCAACAACGAGCAGGGGCGGTGGATTGCAGAAGTAAATGTTTATTTTGACCAGTTAAAAGTTCTTGTCCCACGTTTTGACCTATACATTTTTTTAGGAAAAAACGTCACCTTTATGATAAAAATTTTTTTTTAAAAATAAAAACTGTCCATTTGATGAAAAAATGAAATTTTATTTTTTAATTTAATTTTTCAAGGTCTAACATTTTTTTTCTCTACATTTGTTTACACCATTAGAGAGTGTTGAAAAACAGCAGAAAAACCCAAAATAGAAAACGTATTTTCGTTTTGTTTTAAAGAAACTACAAATTTTTCAAATATTCCATGTTAGACCAAAAATTTAAACTTTGACCCCCTCCAGTTTTAATATTTGTTTAAATAAATTAATAATATTTGGTATTTTTAATTGTATCTAATAGGACTACTGTTTCTGCAAAATTTTAACCCGATCCCAAACATTTAAAATTTTGACCTGGGTCACTTAACGTGGAACCCGTCATATATATATATATATATATATATATATATATATATATATATATATATATATATAATTTAATAACACAGCCCCACAAAAAAAAGTGTCGTGCGCGGCAGACCAGAATAGTCATTTCCTATGTATTTTTACGCGCTGAACACGAATCCGAAGTCCGTTTTGCTCCATCACGTCAGGATTTTTTTCTAACCTCAAAAAATCTGTCGGATTTTGAGAGGTAGGCTTTTTTTCATAAATTAATGGATTTACTTCAAACTTGGTAACTAGGGGTTTTTTGGGTCGCTGATGACAAATTTGAAGTTAGATTTTCAAAATTCAAAATGGCGGCTCCAATATGGCGGACGAATTTTTTAAAAGTTAATGGATTTACTTCAAACTTGGTAACTAGGGGTTTTTTGGGTCGCTGATGACGAATTTGAAGTTAGATTTTCAAAATTCAAAATGGCGGATCCAATATGGCGGACGAATTTTTTAAAAATTGATAGATTTGCTTCAAACTTGGTATCTAGGGGTTTTTTGGGTCGCTGATTACGAATTTGAAGTTAGATTTTCAAAATTTAAAATGTCTATAGTCAGACTTTCACATTTTGAACCCCCTGCACGGAAAAAATGTCCGTGCACCGCTTGTCTCACTTCCAGTGCAGTTGATGCAGAGGTTGTCCGATGGAAGTGCGTTTGCTGTAAGGTAATCACGTCCTTTTATAGTAGTGCACTCTTTTGTCCTCAAAGGATCTGTGTAATGGTTTTCGTTTCAAATTGGTGCCTCCAGGTACAATATCCCTTTTCAGCATCCAACAGTAGTCGGACATCATATTTACATCCCATCTTCCTTGATAACGACGCTCAAATTCTTTAAGATCTTGATGGAATCGTTCTCCTTGTTCTTCACTGTAATCTCCCAAATTTTCAGGGAATCGATCCCGATGCGAGTCTAAGTAATGCATCTTTATGCTCATTAAGCATCCTAATTTACCAAAATTTTTAATCATATCACTAACTATTTGCTCCCAATTTTCACTCTTGTGATTACCCAGAAAATTTTCAACAACTGCTTTGAAACTAAGCCATGCGGCTTTCTCCTTTTTATTCATCTTGGTGATAAATTGCTCATCTTTTAACAATTTGCGAATTTGTGGTCCGTCGAAAACCCCTTCTTTTAGTTTCGCATCAGATTTTTCTGGAAACTTTTGTTCCAGGTATTTAAAACAGTTTCCTTCTTTATCTAAGGTTCGAAAGAATTTCTTTTTGGCCATTGTTTTTTAATGTAGTGATTTGCTCGATCTCTACTGTCCCACAAACACAGGAAACATGGTGTTTTTGTAAAACCTGATTGTTGTCTAAGTAGTATGCTTAAAATCTTAGAATCTCCACAAATTTGCCAGTTGTGTTCTCGGTATCTAATTTTATCCAAAACTAGTTTCATATATTCATAGTTTTCTTTCATTTCCGTTGAATGCGCTATTGGAATTGGAGCATAAATATTAGTATTATGTAGTAGTACTACTTTTAAACTTCTTTTCGAAGAATCAATAAATAGTCTCCAATTTTCATCTTTGTATATATTTGTTTTTAATTTATTCATGAGTCCGACAACATCTGAGCAATATACCAACGACGGATTTTCATCTTTTGTAAAATATTGTCGGAATTCTTTTTCTCTGTCTCGATAAAAGCTAGCTGTTGTGCCTTTTGATAACAAGTTTTTCTTCTTCAACACTGATGCTAGGTGTTCTGCACAATCCTTCGGCAATTTTAAATCTCTAATGAGATTGCTAAGTTCTTCTTGGTTAAACGTTTGTCGAATCTTTATCTCCTGTTTATCATACGGAAGGTAATAGTCGTCCTCATCATCGGTTCTCATGTCTTTATTTTCAAAATCTAGAACATCTTCAGTTGAACTGTCAATTTCCAAGGTTTTGGGAGAAGAAGGTGGATTGCATGAAATTTCTGGTTTTTTTACAGTGGGGACATTAGCATACAATATGTTCTTTTTATTTTTGTTATTATATCCTTGCACATTGGTGTTGCAAAAATTACAATCTTTTTGATTTAATGGTTTTTCCCACAAAGTTGGCTTTATAAAATTTAGTTTATCCTCTTTTTTATGATTCCAACGAGTTAACATTGTGTAACAGGAACTGCAAATTTTGTGTGGAACAAAATTTTTATCCTGATTGGTTATCTCAAGATCAAAATAATCTTTGTAGATCTGTTTGATATTTTCATTTATTGATTTACGATTTTTGGGGACATCGAATTGTCCACATATGTAACAAAATGCATCTGCATTGCTGTCGCATAAGTGTTCCGACGTTGTTACTGCAAAATTAAGTTTTGAAGCCTTTGGAGTTTTATTATTGTTTTGATTTTGAGAAGCCATGATTTATGTGAAAACCTGCACGTTAGGGATCCTGGCCCGATCGCAGGTGAGTCCGCCGTCCTAGGGGTGATAACCCTCATACCTCCCCAGGCCTAAGTATGAGAGCTTTCTGACTTTGACGAGGATAAAGTCAACTCGTCGTCGGACACACTACGGCATCATCCTCACACCCTAACGTCCGCCTGCAGGGCAGCGCGCCTACGCTGGCTTCGTTACTTCGATAAACAGGAAGCGAATCATTCTACACATCCCCTTTCGGGGCAGTTGTCATCGCCTACTACATTTATCGAAGCAGCAGGATTAGTATTGTGCTGAAACACAATAAAAGTGCAAAGCGTACAAGGTAAACAATGTATTTTTAAGGAATAAGATAGTGAAGGATAGAGGATATTAAAGTTCCTTTTTATCTCGTTGCTTAAAAATTTATTATTTAACTTTTACATCTTATTGTCACATTATTACCTCAATGAAAAAAATTTTGTGCATTTGCCGAATTGATCTCTATGATGCAATGAGACCCAACTGTCAGTTCTTGAGAGTAGTTCATTACAAAACAAAAAATTACAGTTCCCGCTACACAACACTCTACCAAAAAATCTTTCGGAGCAGCCACACGGAAAAAATTTCTGTGCACTGTTTATCTCTATATGTGCACCAATGGTCCTTAATTACAGTACAAATCTTACACTTTGAAAAGGGATCATATACGGCCCTTTTTAGAGACAGCAAACGCACTTCCATCGGACAACCTCTGCATCAACTGCACTGGAAGTGAGACAAGCGGTGCACGGACATTTTTTCCGTGCAGGGGGTTCAAAATGTGAAAGTCTGACTATAGACATTTTAAATTTTGAAAATCTAACTTCAAATTCGTAATCAGCGACCCAAAAAACCCCTAGATACCAAGTTTGAAGCAAATCTATCAATTTTTAAAAAATTCGTCCGCCATATTGGATCCGCCATTTTGAATTTTGAAAATCTAACTTCAAATTCGTCATCAGCGACCCAAAAAACCCCTAGTTACCAAGTTTGAAGTAAATCCATTAACTTTTAAAAAATTCGTCCGCCATATTGGAGCCGCCATTTTGAATTTTGAAAATCTAACTTCAAATTTGTCATCAGCGACCCAAAAAACCCCTAGTTACTAAGTTTGAAGTAAATCCATTAATTTAAGAAAAAAAAGCCTACCTCTCAAAATCCGACAAATTTTTTGAGGTTAGAAAAAAATCCTGACGTGATGGAGCAAAACGGACTTCGGATTCGTGTTCAGCGCGTCAAAATACATAGGAAATGACTAGTCTGGTCTGCCGCGCACGACACTTTTTTTTGTGGGGCTGTGTAATTGAAGGTTATTTGTTGTGGCCTTTGGTCAAAAAATGATAAAATGTATATATTATTATATAAATGTATATATCATTTTTTGACCAAAGGCCACAACAAATAACCTTCAATTATTATATAAAGGTCTATAATATTTCAAAAAACTTGATTTTATATATTATAAATATTATATTATATTTCAGGTGTGGATACGGTGTTTGTATTATGCCTGAAAAATTAAGTCTATGTCAAAAAGACCAACTGTTGGCCGAATTGCTAATCGTTTCTGAAAAGCAGGGTCACGGATATGTTCCGCAATGTACAGACGGTAATATTTATTAATAGGGGGAGACCGATGGATCATTTTTTGTTGTATAATGACATCATGTTTACTTTAAATAAAAAATTGATCTTACAGAAAACATTCTATAATATTCACGCTTTAACCCGTTGACTGTCGCTGACGCATATATGGGTAAATCCACAGAACCGGTCGATTTGATGTTACTGACAAATCTTTCTACTTTTAAAGTATTCTATTAATTATTTTCATATTTTTACTACTTTAGAAAGCTCTGAGAACCTACTGAATTAAGAAAAAAACAACAGTTCTTATTCGTCTTAAACATACAAATAAATCTTGGTATTGTAAAATAATCTGCTTTTAGAAATAAAGAAAATATTACAGTAACTATCAATTTAATAACTTCAATTTATAATGTCAAAAAATTGAGAATTACATACAATTTTTAATTATTAATTTATTATGAACCTATCAATCAATGTAAAAATTGAATAACTTTTCATGTGTTATTTTTTTAAACTTGCGTCAAAATTCAGATAATTCAACTCATAGAATTAAAAAAATAGAGGCTAAAATGATATGACTATTAATTCATTATTATATTAACAATAAATATGTTAATATTATTTGTCTTACACAAATAATTATAATTAATCATATTTTATTATTCATGTTTTGTATATATTACAAAAATATGTATAGAAAACAAAAGAGGAAAGAAATTCACATTTTTAATTATATTTTCAGAAAAAACTCATTTTCATTTTTGGCTTTTACCTCGCACGGCATTAAAATTAAGTTAATCACGCAAGAAGATAATTGTTCTAAAATAAATTTAAAAAAAATGAACCATAAATGAAAGGTGTGCTTGCAATTAAAAAAATTTTCATTTTTATAAATGAATATCGACCAATTCCGTGGATTTGCCCAATTTGCGCAAAACTAAGACAGTATGAGCCAAAAGTGTTCATAACGTATATATATATATGCGCAACTTAAGAAAGGTGATTAAAAACTTCTTAAATGTTTCTGAAACCGGTTACTCGGGGGTTTTCGAGGTCGCTTCAATTAAATTATTAGTTATTCAGAATCGCTGTTTTTGCAAATGAAGTAGCTCGTCCTCATCTTTGCGCATTTTAAGTACAAAGTGGCCAACCTTGACAAAAAAAACATTACCGAATTGTTCTAACCATAAAGAAATACGTTTCGGGATTCGATTTTTCATTTTGTTTTTTTTTTTCAACCATGAGTCCCACAAAATTTCTGCATGCTTGCCTCGACGATTCCATTTTTTTTACAAAACTTTAATTGAGCTTTTTTTGTACCGACCTCACAGAAAACACTACTTTCGATTTTCCGAAAATGTAATGGAACAAAAAGTTAGGTATGGGTTAGGTTAGGTATAGATACATACAAAATTTAAAACAAAATTTTATCCTTTAAAGACAATTTAGGTATACAAAATTTAAAACAAAATTTAATCCTTTAAAGATAAAATGTTTTTAATAACTATGTGTGTATCTTTAGAGTAATATTAGAAACTTTTCGGTGTAAAAACATTTCCATTTTTAATAGCAGAAAGAAAGGGGGCGTGCGTAGCGCGTAAAATTAGTGACTAGTAATACTAGTAAAGTAAAAACAAACTGACTGCAGAATTAAATATTTTATTTACTGTAAGTAAATACCCTGAATAAAAAGTGGGACCGATTTCGGACTAATCCGGAATTTGTCCGCAACAGTACGGTTTATTGTGGAGTTTTTTCACCATGAATTAAGTTTAAATCAATACCGTTTTTTATCACTATTGAATCCGTAATTAGTCCGGTTTAGTCTGCAGTTAGTCAGATCATATGCAACTAGTAAATGCAGAAGTAATCCGGTTGGTTTAACCAGTGAATCCGCAGCTAATCCGAAACAGTCTGCTTATGGACAAGTTTTTGTCGCTCGGAATTGGTCCAAATAAATTCAAACTTAATGCGGTTTGTGTATAACCAGTAAATTCGGAATTAGTCCGATCTAATCCAAAGTAAGTCTGATAATACGCAACTTGCAAATATGAAATTATTAAATCTGGAATTAATCTGATTTTTGTCAGGTTTTTGTCCTACAAAATTATAATTATAGTTTGAATTTATCTGCATTTAATTTAAGACAAATTGTTTTTAATATACAAATTCAATATTATTCCAAAATCATTCTAAATTATGTCTTTAAATTGGATTGAATATGGATTGTTTTGAACTGTCTGTGGATTGTATATATTTACAAATTCTTATAATAATAAGACTTATTTTCGGACTGGCGTGTTTTGATCGGATATTATTCGGATTGACATTCGTATTCTTTACATATTGATTTCAGATTATTTCGTATTTATTTTAGATGAGTTTTTTGACGGACATAATTTCGGATTGTTGCGTAATAATTACGGACTTAATTCATAGACATTTAAGATTGCTCCAGACTGATTTAGGATTCACAATTTTACTCGGATTGATGTTAGATTAACGCGGATCATTTTCGTACAATTATCGGACTAATCCACACTAATATACCAGCATTTAATCCGGATTAATGCTAAATTTTTACCAGGGATATAATATGATTCGGGTGGCCGTCTATTACCGAATTCTTAGCATAGGTACATATTTCGGATTGTTTCGTATCAGTTTTGAAATAGGATTTTACCACACTAATTTCGAATTGAAGCGGACTAATGTCGGATTCTTTGTGTACAGATTTCGGATTATTTCGTATTTGTTTCGGATTATGTCTTTCAATTGGATTTAATCCCAATTGTTGCAGACAATTTTCGGATTCGTTACATACCCTGGCGATTTTTGGTACGTTATAACGTACCACTAGCGTACTGTTTGCGTACCATGTCTTTTTTCTCCAAATTAGGAATAAAACAATAAAAAATATAGTAATAAATAAATAAATTGAATAGAATGACAATTAATGAATTAATTTACAGTGTTTAATTGAGATAAAAGCGGTGATTATTATTTAAAAAAAATTGATTAAGTTAAAGTACTTTTCAGTGCATATATAGTGTGTTTTAAATAGCATATTTAGTGAATAATGAAAAGAACAAATTAGGAAAATTTATTTAATTTGACAAAAGTAATCATTAAAGTATTTATTTATTACATATTTAGGCCAAATTAATGTTTACTTATTAAATAATTAATGTTTAAAGTTGGAGATGACAGTTTTACCGTGAGATGTATGCGTGTGTGTGTAAAGCGATGATAATATGCTACTTGATATATCGCCGCGCATTTGTCACGACAGATGGCGGGAGTGACATTCGAACTCCTCTGTTTTATCCACATTCAAAACAAGAAATAGGGGGGTGCGACCGTCTGTATTCTGATTTCTAATTGGTCAATTTTAAAAATTGCGCCAAATATTTACGTTGCTTCCATTTTATGAAAAAATAGAATTAGGAGTTTTGAGGATTCGAATATTGATCATTGTGATAAAGAAGATTTCTACCAAAATTAGATTTGGCAATATTAATATTCTATGAAATTACAATTCTGATAAATTAAAATTCTACAAAAAAGTGTTTCTTACAAATTGATATTCGGTCAAATTTTTCTTGCAAATATAAAATCGATCGAATTGACATTCTGCCAAATTATAATTTGGACAATTAAATATTCTACTAAATTAGAATTCAAATTAATAAAATGTAGGTAAAGTGGAAATTCCAAACATAAAAATTAGAATTATTTCAAATTTTTGAGAAAAAGAATTAGTGTAAACTAATATTCTTCATTATGCAGAATATATTAAATGATTATTCTCGACTTTTGAATTTCATTCAATATACAATTTAGTTTAATGAGGATTCGCGTATCTAGTCATTTCTAAATTAAGTATTCGGCATAATGAGCATTCGGGACTTATGTTTTTGGTACAGACGGTCGCACCCCGAAATAGGAAAACCAACTTTCCAAGATGAATTTTATTTAAATCAATTCTAAAAAACGTATATTGAAATTAACCTTTTTTTAATTTAATCATTACACAGAGAATTATTAGTATATTTTATAGAATTTAAAAACTAAAAATTCAGAAAATAAATAATTATACTAAGAAAGATAAAATAGGTAACTTTTTCCCGTTCTTCTAAAATTATTAGAAAACTTACTTTTTAGATCAATTAAAATGAGATTCTAACTCCTCCTACTTTAAGAAAGCAATTTTTTATTCGTTGGTTCAACATTACAAAAAGGGAGTGAATATTTAATATTTAAAAAGTTACATTTAGTCTTAACCCATTAAGAAAAAAAGACTTCTGGCCAATAAAAATAAACTCCTCCTATTTTCTAAATGCAATTTTTTATTTGTTCGTTGAGTTAAACAAAATGGAGAAAAAGTTAATATTTAAAAAAAATCATATAATTCCAACACCCAAAAGAAAAAATGGATGATTTAGACCAATTAAAATAAAAATTAAACTCCTCCTTCTTAACGAAAGATATTTTTTATTTGTTGGTTCAGTTGAAAAAATGGAAGCTAATATTTATAGTTTTAAAAAATATAAAATTTAGTTCCAACCCCTCAAGAAAAAATAGACTGCTATTAGCCAATGAAAAAAGATTCAAACTCCTCCTATTTGAAGAAAGAAATTTTTTGTCCTACATGCGCGATAAACTCGACTTTCCGTGCATGCATAGCGGGCGCAAAGTAAGCTTTTGCCGCCCGAAAAACTACTTTTCCGCCCGCTTACCAACAGCGGGCGGAAAAATCACTTTTCCGCCCGCCTCCATGGCCTTAGCAGGCGGAAAAACGACTTTTCCGCCCGCTGCTTTAGCACTATTAAATAAATACTACTAATTATTATATTATCACTTTCTATTACTTCAAATCAAAACGGAGTCAATTTGTAAGTAAAATTTTATTGTTAAATTTATCAAAAATATTCGGACTCGCCTTAGGCTTAATAAAAATGTTTCATACACATTTAATAATTAATGCATATTCATTTTTGAATTTACGGATGCGTCTTG